ATATTCCCAAGCAACTGTATTACTACCACTTCTCACCAACATTTCCACGATGTGACTCTGATTACACATGCCTACCAATTACAGAATTTGTTTCTTCGCGGTCTGTAAGAGCAAAAAGTGACAAGTCAGCAAACCGGCTTATTCCTTTCATGTGACAGGCAAGGATTGCTGTGTCTGTCCCCACCTCGGGGCTGGGGCTGCCCGAGAGGCTGCAGACCTGAGCCCTCTGACTCACTCCCCACTGACAAACCCCCAGAGCTGGCAGAGGCATCCCTGCTGCACCACCACTGAGAAAAGCAGGGAGGGCAAAAGAAAGGCAGGCTCAAGGAAGCACAACACAGAAAGAAAGCCAGTGACAACACATGGCCGAGGATAACGAAGCCTGAAAGGAAAGCTAAATAGCCTATTAGCAAAGCTATTTCATTAAAACCTGACGGGCAATTGCAGGGAAAGAATTTTATGTACAACCAAGGATGGCAGAAGCCAGCTAGACACACGGGGGAGATTGGAAGACAAGGCAAAACTGCAGAGCTGATGCAGAAGGAAGAACTGACCTTCTTCAGATCAGAAAATAATCTTTGAGACCCTATGAAATATTAAAAAAAAAATCTATTTCTACATACTTGGCCTCTATTTATCAAGAAATTATATCTATCAAAAAAAATTCAATAAAAAGAAGACATGGGTATAACACATCCAATACCTAAAATGTATTTTGCGCATTCAAATCTCAGCATAAGGGTTTGAACTTGCAATATTTTAAATGCTATTTAGATCTTGCAGTCTTTTATTAATTTAGTGTTTCTGAATGGGAATTTTGCAATTACAAAAAAACCCTAAAAACACACACAAAAAACTCCCACAAAACATACAAAAAACCCCCACCACAACATCAAAGAGGAATATGTATCAAAGCAAAGTGCTTAACCACACAGATTTCAATACGAAATTCAATATTCCACGAAGGTTTTCATGGACACTTAATTGACCTCTGGGGACTCAGTCCCCAAAGAAGAATTTAGTACAGAAAATTAAACTTATATTTTGCATTGATATGCTCATTGCTAGAAAACCAATGGATTATTCTAAATCAGCAGGTGTGGGTAAAATACAAAGTAATATTTGATTAAACCAGCGTTGAAATCATAAAGGATTGTTGTCACATGGTACTCCCCCCTCTCCAGGCCTTTCCAAAGAAAAATCCTAGCTGGAAACACAATGTCACAGTCATAAATAAAATAGCAGTCATGTACATTTGCAATATCTTCAAGGAACACTGTCAAAAGTAGCCAGTAAATACAGTATGCTATTCCCAGGAGGCTGAAGGAGTAGACTCACTCAACCTAAAATACAACTGCCTTGCATAGGAAAATGTAATACCAAAAGGAAGACCACAAACAAAACCCAAAACAAACAAACCAACCAAAAACCCAAACATAAAAAAAACCCCAAAAAATCCAGCAATCCCAGGGAGCTGCATTTCCTATTATCTGACTGGATAATGATATTTAAAACTTCTTTTACACTTAACAGAACATTTTCTATCTTACAGCATCTAGTCTTCACTCACTTTGTTTATACAGTACTCATAAAAGCCCATTCATCTAAATTATCCATTTTAAATTGGCAGTTAAACAGGTAGGCTAGACAAAAATAAATAATCCTTCAACACCATTTTGAAAGACTTCTTTTTTGTATAGTGGAAACAAAACATAGACTATCTGCTCCCAAGCTATTGACATTATTTACTTTATTGAGAATATTCCCATGAAGTACTTAACAAAAGCCTAATCCATTCTGACTCTCAGCAGCAGCAGCACCTGTTCCACCTCAGTGGTTCATACACCAGATCAGGACCCTGACTCTCTTCCTTTCAACGCCAAGCCTTCTCTTTTCAGTAGAAAGGAGGTTGACATCAAATATCTCAGAAATTAAATCCTGACAACTGCTACCTACCATTAATTACCCAGGCCTGCCACTTGCATGAAATTCCCTGTGGGAAGGCTCAAGCAAACAATACATAGCTGAATTGAACGTGACATACGAAGTTCAGATAAATGCGTCAAAAGCTATTACCATTCTCCATTAAAGCATACTGGTTTCACCACATGGGATTGTGAGGAAATTCCTCTGTAACCACCAAAGCATTCAGTACATTATCAAATTTTATTTCTTCCTCCAGAAAGAAATGTAGTGTGAGCTGAACACACCACTGAACTCTTCTGGTAATGGCAAGACTGGCATTCAGACTTAATATACTGAATGTGCTTTTATGGGGGCTTAGAAGTGTGGGCTATTGGTCTGAATTTCTCAGAAGAACAATCTCATTTGTACATTGGTTTTAATCATAAGACAATTTGCTTTGAGATGCCCATTAGCAGTGCATTACAGGAATCTGTGTGCCACAATCTATGAAAAAGAGCTGAGTGCGTGTTCTGACAGGCAGGGGAAAACGCGAGAGGCAATTATTTCAGTAACAACAGCAGCACTGTTTCTCCAACTGGTTTTATAATACAGCCTGGCCCAGGAAATGATAAAAAGCTCTTACAGAACTATGCAGAAACGGTAAGACAACATCGATAAGGAAGCTTCAAAGGATTTGAGATAATACTGGATGGGAAAACTGGAGAAGCTGCCTGCCTGGCCCGTCTGGGCGAGGACCCTTCCACCTCCCAAGGCAGAGCCAAAACGAATATTCATCCCTGCTCTCCCAGCAGCACTGCTCCAGGTCAGCAGACTACTGTACTGCTATGAGCCTTTTTTTTTCCCCTAGGGATTTCTTTATTCTATGAAATCTGTTGAAGTAACTACATGCATCACTTGTTTCCTAAGGCAGTTTCCAACTATTTCATTTGATTTAAAATAAACATGTTAATGGGTCTAGTTCTTGTTTTCTATGGGTGCTTCTTAAAGAAAAACAACACAAACCCAGCCAAGGACATCCAATTTAGGGAGCAGCTTCAGGTGTAGGGGTGTCAGAGAGACCATTTAAACCCTTATATCACCATTGATACTGGGGAAAGTTTGTGTGGACAGGAAATAATAAATCTCACACATTTAGGCAAATAAGAAAACTACAGAATTTCACTTCAGGAGCAATTGCAATCTCACATCTACTATGCTTCATACAGCAAAACTATCCTCTTCCTAAAAGCTGACAGATACTCACCTGTATTCAGAACAAAGCAACATAAACCAAAATGAGTCACATAAACACATGAAATGCATCCTTATGCAAGTTTGGTCTCACCCTTCTTAGGTACATCAAATTGAGGAAATACCAAGACAACATGGTCAAAATCCCTGAAAGATGCTCTAAGATTAGACTTAAACAAAAAGCATACACTCTGTCAGTGTATACCAAAGACAAAACTAAGAAACACCCTGCTGTAAACTATAAACGTACTCAACAACCACTTGAATAAAATGTACCAGTACCTAGCCCATAACTAGAAATCCTATTTTCCATTATAAGGATTCACCCTTCCCAACAAACAGACCTATGTTGATAATATTAGCTACATAACAATTAACATAGGATGCCCCTTAAAATATTTGTCTCTTCCTATCTAAGAGAACACAGATTCTTTGGAGCATGTGTTTACTATATACACATCCAAAATGAAACAAAGCTTAGTAACTCCCAGTGAAAAAGGAAGTTAAATGTGACTATGTAGAAGCTAATTCATTTATTCTTGTCATTGTGCATATGTTCTCAAGAGCATGAAGAAGTTTGCCGGGGACTTTAAAATATCCAGCCTGCATATTTGATTCAAATCCTTATTGCTGGTTTGAGATAAATCTTTAGGATCTGTAAGATAAACTGATCAGCTGAAGTTAAGAAATTGCATGATACCATACTGGGACAAAGTGATGCTTTACATGTTACCACACTGACAGACACACTAAGTGATGCTGTTTAGGGAGAGCACATGAGTCTGGCCACTCCCTGTGACTCATTTCTCCTCCCAGCATCCATCACAACAATACAAATATTAAAATATCTATTCCTGCCTATTCCATTTAGCAGCCATTTTGGATGTAGAATCACAGAATCATTAAGGTTGGAAAACACCTCAAAGATCATTCAGTCCAACAGTTAAACAAGCACTGCCAAATTCATCACTAAACCATGTCCCCAAGTGCCACAGACAGACATTTCTTGAACACTTTCAGGGACAGTGATTTCACCACTTCCCTTGGTAGCCTATCCCAGTGCATGACCGACCACCCTTTCAGTGAATAAATTTTTCCTAATATTAAATCTTAAACTCCCTGGGGCAAATGGAGGCTGTTTCCTCGTATCTATGAACCTGTCCAATCCCTTTTTGAATCTGCTGACACTATCTGTCTCCACTGCCTCCTGAGCTAAAGAAACACAGCAGCAACCTGCAGTTACCAAACCCCATCATGCTAATATTCTATGAGTCACACAGAAACTGTGCACCACTATCACCTTTGCTGGGAGCACAGACAGACTCAGAGGACTCACTGTATTTAGAGAGAGGCAGGAGCTTCTGTTATACCCAAAAAAGCTTTCCAGACCTGATAAAGAATTTGCATAACCAAAAGCTTGTCTGCTCTTCCCAGCTCTATCAACAGATCTAAAAATATATTCATTCCCCCTACAAACCTAGCAACTATGCACTCTTTGGATGGTTATTGCAGTTCACTGTGAGACTGGTAAGGTTCATTACTCCCCACTGAAGTATTTTTGAATACAAATACATGACTGTATCTGATTTGCTTTAATTAAACGTGGAAAAGTTTCCCAAACTTTGAGGAATATATGAGGAAAAGCTAGCTTCCTTTTCCTTTTGACTCACTGCCAAGTGCAAGGAGTTTTCAAAATAACAAAAGCCTACAGAAAGATATACAGAAACAACTGTCCTGCTGACATTTAATGGAAGAGGTACAGGCTCTCAAGTTATCATTTAATCATACTTACAACAACAGAGTTACAATGCAGCTGTTTAACTTCCCTTTTCTCCTTATTTTACCTGTCAAGCCTCCAATGCCTGCTTGTAGCTTCACAAGGCTCCTCAAATTCATAGAAGTCAGTGCTCTGGTCTTCCACGCTGCTGGAGTTCTGCCATTCCGAGCAGAGATTTCTCCTAGCACCCATAGCAAAAGGCAAGTTCTCATACTCAGGTATTTCCTCATAGTGGCACACATTCTCATATTCTGGATCACAAGTGCTGGTTACAGAATTCAGAGGCATTTGGGACAAATTCTCTGCCAAAAGTCCATGTCTTTCTAAAGACTCCAGCCTTTGGTTATTTCGCATCTCAGGCTGACTTCTGTTTCTCTGCCTCTTCTTCTGTAATGCCGGACTACTTATTTCTACAGAATGTGCCTTGGCAGATTTAGCTTTCCTTTCACTGCCTACAGACCCTATATTACTGCTGCTATTTCCATACCCATTCCCATTGGAAAGGCTGGTAATAGCACTCTCCACTGACTGGCTGCCTTTAGACAGAAATTTTTGGAAGTCGCTTTTCTTTAAGCAAACCGACAGTTTCATGTTCAGAAGCTTTTTCAAGCTATTTTTCTTGTGATGGTCTTTGCAGGGCTTGTCTGTCCTGTCCATGTCCACAGCAGAGAGAGACTTGGCCCTAGGCTTCGTCACAACAGTCAGGTGGCTGAAACTGGCGGCAGTTTTTAATGATTCAGAATTTCCTGAAAAGGGAAGAATAGGATGAGGTAACTTCCAGACGGGTTTTTCAGAAGAACGTTTGGGTATGTCACAAGACGAAAGTGCATCCTGCTCCTTGGCTCGTGGATGTGCAAAGGGAGATCCTTCTAGAAGGCTGCTCGATTTGTCTTCACTGCAGGTGTAAGAACTTTTGTCCACAAGCTCTGCCGATGCAGCTTTTTTCAGCAGGCCAGCAGCTGGAAGGCCATGTCTCTGTGGTTTCTTAGGAATAACTTTTGGGGAACTCCCATCCTTTATTTTAAGTTCTTTATTTTCCAAGTTTTGTGGGAAAACATGAAGGCTGTTGACAGCAGGTGAGTGCTGACTGCTTGCCAATTTGACCTGCTTTGGCAAACTCATGGACAGGGTATGACACCTGACAAACTCAGTCCTTTTGTCCACAGCATCTGGCATACTGGTGTCATCTGTTATCTCATCCACAAAGTTATGGTCTGCATTTAAAGAAGATTCAACGTGTCTCCCCAAATCAGGACTTCCGTGTGAAAACTGAGGCAAAAGATTTTGTGAAGCTGACTCTTTCACAGCAGGCTCCTTTACCTGAGACACTTTTTCTGCATTGCTTTGAGTTACCTCACATTTTTCAGGATGAAACACTTCTGCATTATTACTATAACACACACTTTGACCAAGGACATTAATTCTTGCTGGCTTTTTTAAGCTTTGGTCCACAACACCATGAGAATCTTTCTCTGAATTAGATGGTTCCTTTGTTCCTTCTCCTGTGCTGTCTATGCCATCCTGACGGACTAGACATGCAGCACGTGGCTTTCTTGGCTTAGGGACAGGAAGCACTTTGGAACTCAGGACTGAAGATGTTTCAGGGGAGGCTTTATCAGCATCTGCTTTCATCCCCACTTCACCTGAAAACATCCTATTACTACTTAAATTTTCATTCTCTAGAGTTTCCTTGTCCAATGAGGAAAAACAACAGTGATTATTTTCACTAGGACAAATTTCAGACATCTGAAACTCACCAGCAATAATCTTACCATCAACATTTTGTTGCTTCCCTTTAACTACTTCAGAAGATGACGAAGATTGTACAAGTTCCATAAACTCTATTTTAACATCATTCTTGGAACTGCTGCCATTCCCTTTGTCAAATTTGTCTGCATATCTGTGTCTCACAGGACTGCTGTTAGGAAACACACCGTGAGTTAGGACATCCTTAAGTTTCTCTTCCAAAATGCTGGCTTTCAAAACCACCTGACTTCTACTTGCCAATTTTTCATTGTGACTATCCCCCAGAGACAGTGCATTTCTTTCACCAAGCTTGATGTTTTCTAAGGTGTCAAAGTGCTCGAGAATGATCTGAGTTTTACAGGGGTTCTCTCCATTTCCAAGTTTATGAAGGCATTCAAATTTGCAAGGTGACACAGGTAGAATATATGCTGTATTTCCAGTACTCCCTTCTGAGGTTTCATTTTTATAGTTCAAATGGTCTAGAGTTTGAGAAGGATCTTCCCTGTGCTCCTCAAAGCTTTTTGTGCTTTTTCGTGTAGACGATGGAGGTTTAACTTCAGGGATGGAGGAGCTCTTGAGAACCTTTGGTTTTGGTGCAATTGCTGGCTTGGTTTTCCTTGCTGCTTGTATCCCACCACAAAGTACAATATCAGGCTTCGGTGCGACAGGTGGAGGCGCTGCCTTGTGTCCTAGGACAAATTTTGGTTTGGGGGCCACTGGTGGCTTCTTAATTTCTAGGAAGAATGGAAAACAAAGACATTAGTCACCACTGCCCACACAACAACTTCACCTGCAATGCAGAAGTATTAGAAGTTTTGTAACATTTCTGATCTACAAGAACTCAATGTGGGTATGGTTACATTTTTCTCCTAAAAGCATGCCTTCCTTCCCTAACACCACTTCTTTGCTAGTTGCCTTTCTTTGTTTTAATAGGCACATCAAGAAGTGGTAGGGACGTTTTCAAAGTCTTTTCATAAACAAACAGTTTAACCTAGTATTAGTACATGTACTCCCTCACATGCTAAAGTCTCATGCCAAGAAAAGCAGAGCCTGGTTCTGCAGTTTTAACTGCAATACCCTTTTAAAATGTTGCAAGCATGTTAAGTGCCACACATATAATAAACCACAAAGACAATGGGACAGCCAGAATAGTGACTAGGGTAGATCAGTCCCTTCCTCCACCACTTTGAGAAATGTGTAACCCAAAATTCCTCGTTCCCTTCCTCTCCTCTTCAAACAATACCAAGATGAATTACTGTACCAGTTGCAAAATTAGCATATCACTACCAGCAGTTCAGTTAGTCTGTGGTATGGAGTTAGTGCAGTAATTTGTAGCAAGGCAGTACCTTTCCATTGTAAAGCACTATTTCTGTGCCTTGTACAAAATTACTCTTCCCAACTTGTCTGACCTAGAAACAGTCACCACTATTAGGAATTATGACCCACTTGGCACAACAAGATGACAAATCCTGGGCAGAGTGTAAGTGTACAGCACTCAGGAAAAGGAGCTCATGAGGAACTTAGAGATTGTGGAGTTTTGAACCAGTTGTTTGAGTAGTTTTGGGGTTTTTTGTTTGCTTGTGTTGTGGTTGCTTTTTTTTAAAGTATGCCTAAAATATTTGAATATTTCAGGAGATTATTTATGACCAATTCATTTCCATATGCTGGAATATTTTCAGATTTCTAAGAGCATTGAGTGCTTTTTATATGTGCACATTTATAAAGTAAACAAGCTTCTTGTACTGTTTATATATTACCTCTGTATTTACTACCATTATTTTGATCAATATTTTAGTATACTTTCAGTAAGTCATATACATGTTAAATAACACCCTCAAGAAAACACATTAGTTAATGTTTCACATGCAAATAGATGAGGTAAGCCATGGATTTATTGTTCCCTTTGAAGTGTGAGTTTGGTGTTTGGTTGTGTTTTACCACCACTATTATTATAGATATGCACTATATCTTAATCTCTAGCTTAGATTAGAATGAAGTTTCAAAGTTTAGGTTTGTTTTGTGGGGATTTGTTTGTTTGAAGGAAACCTAGATGGGTAAAATAAATTTTTAAAAAAGGGCAGATGCCCTCAGTTGCAACTATTTCCTAAACAGCAAGCCACTGCTCTAAGCAGAGGCAGAAACAGTAAAATCATGTTTTTCTAGGACATGAATCACTAAATGGTACCCAGACTGCCTCTACCTACACTTAGAATGGCTGCCCTTGCTGCCACTATATTAGTGAAGAGATAAAACTCTGATGGCAGAGACAATTTTTAAGAAATTTTACAAGAGGGAATCCAGAATTTCTTTCCAAAAGTACAGCTCCCTATAGCCACTGACAACAGTGACCCAACTGCAACTTACTTCTAAGGTTATCCCACCTTCTGCATCCCATCTCAAGGCAGGTGTCAAACCCACAGAGAAATGAATCAACAATTAGCTAGGAAAAAATAAAATTAACTCTTTAGGTGGGTAACTAGTGATCCTGATGAGCAAAAGAGAGCTGCACACCAACTTTCAGACAAGTCAACTGCTTATTCAGCTGGAATATGAAGTGACGGCAATAAAGGAGCCTGTGTTCCATGGTAGAAAAACAAAGAAGGGATGCCCAGTTTGTCACAGAACACAACAGAGTAGTACACCTGGGCCATGTTCAGCAATATTTACTAAGTTGTTAAAGCTCCCTGGAAACAGGAGAGAGACATGCTGCTTTGGAACCCTTCCTGACGCCCAAGTGAGAGAAACAGACTGACAAAGATACGGGACATTAAACACTGGCTAGGTAAGCAATATCCTGTGGATTATTTTTCCCACACATAAACTGAAGTTCATAAACCTTGCAAGTTTCTCTCTCTATAGTGGGAGTGCCTTACATTTTGGATACCACCAAACTAGATAACTCTGCAGGGCTTTTAACTAGTATTTATTAGGGAGCACACTCAGAAGTTAGGACGTGACACCATTACCTGAATATAAATTATCAAATTATCAAATTATCCCCCATGGTTTTATTAAAACTAAACCATGAAAGTGTAAAGAAAAGCAAAGCAAACAGAACAGTCTCTAAGCCAGTGGAGGAAACCTGGATAATGAACAGAGCAGAAAAATTCATTTCAGATAATAAGTGCAATTCAACGTGATTTCTGAAGCCTACCAGAATTTTTCAAATTACTTCAATGTTAAAAAGCATTCAGGCAGACAGAAGAGACCAGCAAATTGTGTGGCATAATAAAGACAGCACTGTCTGCTTTAAACTGATTGCACATTACATCTAGAGTAGATATGGGTCAATGTACTAAGAGGCACATTACAGTCTCGGTATCAATACAGATCTGCAGTCAACCATCAGAAAGGAATGCGATGAAGAGCCCTTTCAAACATAAATGTGATGTGAGAGGAAAGGCTCCAAGAAGGAATGCATACCAGTAGTTTTCCTCAACGAAATATCTTTAAGTTTCTGAAGAATACAAGCAATGAACTACTTAGAAAAAAAACCACAGCAGCTGACAAGGGTGAAAGTATAGTAGATTGACATTAGAAATTGAGAATCAAAGTTCAGTATAAACTAATTCAATTCATTGTTGGATGAAAAACACATTTCTACATAACAGTGCTCTAAAAGGGATAATTTCCCATCCAGAATAGAAAAAACATCTAAGTAGGAGGCAGCTGTTATATATAAAGGTGTAAGGAATGACTGGAAGTCATATGAGAATGACTTTTCGCTAAATGGCAAGCAAAAGCAAGGTAAAAACCAATAAATATAATCAAGGAAATGTTATAGAGCAAATGCATGGGGTAGTTAGTTGTTTGGACAGAGGGCTTTTTCCTGGTGCCATATGGAACAGGCTATTCACCTAAGGACAGAGATGGTTGGTTATGCTTCGGAGAGTAAAAATCGAAGAGAATTTGGAAATCATTGTACACAGTTATTTTATGAGAGCTCCATGCAGGTCTGAAGCTAAGCAGTAAATAATCTGCTAAGTATAAAAGATGAAGGGAGTTGAAAATATTTCTGTACATGCTACCTACCAGACTGTTAGCGAAATGCAATGTCACCTTCCAGCAATCTTAGAAATAACTACAGAAGCATCCAAGGTCTAAAAGTTATGCTTCAAATCCCAAGGAAGCTCATCCTAATTAATTTAACCAAGAATTTAAAAACTAGGATGGTAATAGAATATATACTTATGCACATGTGAAAGGTTTTGGGTAACAGATGGTTCTTGAATCACAAAAAAAAATCCCCAAATTCAAAAAAAAACCCCACCTAACCCTGATGAAATTCCATATTTGACCACATAGGTTTGACATGCACAAACTAGAAAGAAAACTCTAAATCTTATGAAAACTAAAGGATAATTAACTACAGAAATATCTCACCTAGTGTTGTAGGGGAGCCACATGCACTTACAGGCAACCTAAATTCACTTTCTGACATGTGTAGAATTTTCAGAGGGAACTTTGGACTGGACATTGGATTCTCTAGCCTGTCATACTCAGAAAATTAGAGAATCACTATGATTTTCCCCACTCCCACCTCAAACCTTAACCCATTTCTCAAAGAGAATCCCTGCATCCAGGGATTCCAGTAATAAATGCAAATCTGAGTAGAAATATAAAATTTGATTTGCATAAACAGATGAAATGTTTAGGAGCCAGAGAAACTGTCAGAGAGATATCCTCCAACCTGTTTGACTATGCAAAGGAAGAAATCCATAAATAAAGTGACTAGCAATGCTGCCATCACTAACAGGAAATCTGCTGCTCACACAGGAACAGCCAATACCAGGCTCAGTGCTGAAGGAAAAAAGTGCTTAAAACTACCAACACCTAACCCCCTTAGAAAAGGTAGATTTAAAAGGGCATTCCTTGTCTAACAACAAATTGCCATTAGCACCACCCATGCAGATCAATGCACGTGCTCTCTGTCTGACTTCAGGTCACAGCACAGAAACAGATTTATCTCTCTGGTGAATTACATCCTTCAGCATGCTGAGGAAAAAGCAACACCCATTCTCATCCTGCTGATCTCCTCTGTGACCAACACTTGTTATTGCCTGGCTGGTGACTGCTCCTGTTCTTCCTTTGATTTGTTTCAGAGGAGGATGAGAACATCCTGACACAACTTCTACTCTCAGTCTTTTGACCCTAAAGCGCTGCCCATTTCTGTTCTTCAGATGATAGAATTTGACAACTGAGGACCTCACTTAAAAACACTTGTGTGTCTTCTCCTATGCACTATCATGAGAATGAACAGAAAAGCCAATAAGATATTGCAATCTTAAGCATTACTAATACACAGCTTTAAAACCTTTTCAAATTTTTACCTCTTGTTCTTTTCCCTGCCCTACATAGGAACAAGGAGAAACAATGATATGTGAAGATGAAGAGAGGCAAAAAATCAAATAGAACTACCTCATCTGCAAAAAACCCTACTGTTGCTAAAGGAGTGTATTTCCCAGGTAATCTTTATGCCAATACCTTTGAGATCATGTTAACAGCTTCCATATTTTGGAACAACAAAAGAACAGGAACAAGTCATGTTGACTTGCATCTGTCCATGAAAAGGGGACAAATGGGTCTAGGCACTATCAAGCTGACGTAACTTGATATTCCTTTTCTCACAATGCTTCATATGAACAGAGATTCTCCTTGTGGTATTCAGGATGCTCTATGGACTAACTCAAGTCACCTGGGCACGATCCTGCAACCTACCCTAAAGCAATGCCCCTTCTGAACCACAAAACAAGGAAGTAAAGAAGAAAGTAAAACAAATATATCACTGCGGCATCAGACTTTGACAGCAGCTCAGCCTAAGCTTAAGAAAAGGGCACACAATCAAATTACTATGGGGTAAGCAAAGGTGTGAATTTAACAAATCAGCTACTTTACAGAAGCTGGTCGTATGAATACTCTTACCTTACCACACAATATATATGGCAGTTTATTTCTTTGCTGTAACCTAGAAGGTTTATTCCTTATCTGCAACCTATAAGGTTACATATATTTCACATACTACTTGACAAATCTATTTCACACACACTAGGAAAAGAAAAGGGCTTCAAACAGCTACCACACAGCAGCTGGCCTAGAGCAAATACATGCATTGGCTTTCTTGTGGCACCTTGTTTGCATATGCACACTCAATTCTCAGATACAGCAAATCACATCTGTAGGCTACATATGAAAATGATGCAATGCCCAGAAGGTATCTACCAAGAGCTCAATGAGCTGTTTTTTCTCACATGAAGAAAGAGCCTGCTCCAGCAGCCAATTTGCTGTTCCTGAGACTATTTTGGGCACAAAACCCTACAACTCAATCTGGAAGCAAGAAAGCCAATCTTGCTTTTAAGGAACATGTAGGGAGAAAGAATTACTGCTATGTTTGAGATATGCTGAGAGATTATTGCACTGGCACTCAATACACTGCAGAAAGAAACACATAAATATTCTAAAAATCCTGTTCTCCAGCAGCCTAAATTTTAAAGACTCATTACAAGGCTTTTCAGGTCAATTACTTTGTTTTCAGTTACAAAAAGAAAGTTTCATTAGGTAAACACCTCAAAAAAGTATTGTGTGATCATTAATTTATTTCCTGCAAATGTTTATTTATTTTCTCATTATGGAGAGGCTCTGATTTTCTCAGGTGCCACAATGCTCAAAAGAAACAAAAAAAGGAATGAGTCATAACATCCCGGAAGATAACACATGTAGTTTTTAAAGTACAAGGGAAAACTGAGGTTTCCAAGCCACTAGTTTTAGAAAACATCCTAATTAAACTGCAAAAGGAAAACATCCATTTCAAAATCTTAGGTTGTTCACTGACTTATTGAAATAAAACAGGAAAGTTAGGGATAACTTCAGAGCAAGGACAAGAGATGAATAAACAACCTTTTAAGATCACATGCAGAGACAGAGCTGAGTAACTCTAATGAGACTTGACACATTCGAGGGTTAAAGGGACATTAAACGCTGCAGGCCTCATTTTTTTTCAATCCTTGAAAGCAATGAAGTTTGATTGGAAAAGTCATGTTGATTTTGTTGATTCTGTTCCTGCTATGTTTTTTCCATTTGAACTACATTTCTGACATTAAAATACATTTTTCTCATTGTTGTTGTCAAATCCAATTTCAAGCCTAAGTTATACATTCTGCCCATATTAAATAAGCTCTATAGATTCACATATAAGGACTGTTTCTCCAGCAAGAAATAATAAATGTCAAACTCATAACTCTGAGCTTTTGTTTTTTCCTTTTAAAGGCAAAGCACATACTTGAAGCCAGCATAACACTTTCAGGCAGAAATGAGTAAATGGACATTCATTGGCATCGTGGATGTAGTGTGTATATATATAAATATATCTTGTGCAGTGCATGAGAAAGCAATGGCAGGAGTACAGGTGTAAGTGAAGATTGAAACTAACATATGGGTCGATCACTACAATGAGATAATCTTCACATTATATAGAAGTATTTTTTAAATGTGCTATAGTTCCTTAGCTGCAACAATTCCAGACTTACATAGACATTTTAAAACATGTAAGCAACAGCTGTGGCAGAACTCCATCATGGAGTTATGTTAGTTCTGGACTGAGATGTAACTGAAACAATTCTGTAGAGGAAATAGAAAAGATACACAGCAAGACACTGAATATGCACTGCATTATTTAGAAAGGCACAAGGTAAGCTGCAGCAAGGTTAAGGCTGGGTAATCAATCTCAGACCTTTTGGAACTTCTGTCCTTGGGGAGAAGCTGTGTTTGGGGTTTCTCCCCATACCACAGTCCCTCAAATAGCATAGTATCTCTCTTAGAGAAAGCCCTGCATATCAAGCATACACTGGCAAATGGTACTTAAAAAAAAAATTAAAGCAATACAGATGATGGTGTACCATGTTGCTTTGTCCTAAAGGTACATGAAAAGAAGACCCAAGAGAGGCACTTAGGTCCCTCAAGTCAAACTGAAGGAAAGATTTCTAGCATTTCAAGTTCCACCTGAAGCCTTCACAGCCAATAACATTTTTACAGAAACGCTGTATTACCAACCAGTCGTCAGAAAACTGGCTGAGTAAGAACTGAATTCACAATTAAATAATTTCAATGTAGGAAATAGATTCTATAGGTCACAAGACTGAAATTCAAATGCAGGAGTTGTTAGGTTTTCATGCTTTTTATGAACAATAGCTTTATAAAGAATGCCTGTATATTACAGCCACTAAGTTCTGCAGCAATAACAAGACAGGGATATTAAACCTTCAGAACTGTCTTCTGGAAGTCTTCAGCCTTTTCATACCCTGCCTAGGAACTCCTTAACTGAAATGTCAAAGGCTGTCATGATGTTGTCAGCAGGACTATGAATCTCTAATCTTGTTTCACCTGTTCCCCATGTATTTTATCTTCACATAATACATCACACACAGAATACTCTTCACCCCCTCTCAAATACCCCTCATCTTCCCTCTTTATGCCCCAGTACTCTTTATGTCTTCATCTTGAAAAACTTGCTAAAATTTAGATTTGTCATGGAACTGTCTCACTTTCTCACATTCCTCAGTATCCCTTTTTCTCTTTTGCTTACTTTGTTCACCAGAACCCCTTTGTCCTCACCTTCCCCACAAACACCACCATAACATACACTTAAAACCGATTTAGTCACACCATCTAAGATCTAAAAGTCATGAAATCACTGTTAACTACTGAAAACTACCCAACTTTCTGAAACTTAGTACGTATCAAATTTTAACAGCCCAGCTCTTGAGCACCCCCTAACACTTATGTGCACAGCTGTTTAACTCTTAAAAGATCAGCGTGAACTGCACAACCAGCAGCACTACTAAAAACGGGAACATACAATGCAGCTGGTTAAGCAGAGACAACCTGCTTTATTACATGCTTTTCAACATCTAAACAAAATCACTTCTGTCAAATGTATTAAAAATGGAAATGCTTTAAATGAAGCAGAAAGATGCATTAAATCGCTTTTTACTTTGCAGTAAATTCTGATTAGCTGTGAGAGCTCAGATAATTAACGCTGGAGTCAATAACAAGTTGACATACTTGAGAGGCAAACACTGAGAATTAGGTAGATATTTTTGCTTGATAACTGTGTATTGCTTTTTCTTTAGAACACCCACCACCACCCCAATCCTTACAGGAAGCACTTTGCTGCTTCCCGTTTAACCCTACAATTAGCTATGTTTCCATCCAATACATCATAATTTACACGACACGTTTTCAATGCAGAAACGACTCCTGTTAGGCAGATAAGAAAGGCATCTACTAATCTAGCAGATGCCTGAACAAAAGCGCTAAGTTAGCACACCACCGTGCAAGCAAATATAAATAGGAGCAATTCCCTTAAACACGGGGTGCTCTTGTTCTGAACCAAGAATTTGCCTTGGAGCTCTTTTAGTCAGTAAATTGGCAGCGGTCAAGAAACGGGGGAGGAAAGGTAAGGAAAGCAGTGAAGTAGGTCAGTTCCAAGCCGCAGCTGGAAAGGCCAGCAGCGAACGCTTTCCAGCACCCCCGCGGGGCTCCTGCGAGCAAGGTCCCGGCCAAGGCAGGTACATCCCAAGCAAAGCCGCAGCTGACAAACTCTCGCAGCTCCGCGGGGTCACACGGAGCGACAGCCGCACCCGCGGCGCTGGCTCTCCTGGCACAGCCCGGCCCCCAGCAGCTTTCCCCGGCGGTGAGCTCAGCCCGGGCACAGGGACCCGCTCGGACACGCGGGGCGGCGAGCGGAGAGCCCGGCTCAGCCCGGGCAGCCCCAGCCCCGGGCAGGACGTGCCCGCACGGCCCCGCGGCCAAACGTGCCGAGGGGTGCGGGGAGCCCGCAGCGGACCCCGGGGAGGGCTGTGCCCCGAGCCGGGTGCGCCCCTCACCGCTCCGACCGCTCCCCGCCCGCCTCCCCGCGCTGCCCCCGGAGCGAGCCGAGGGCGCAGCCGGGACAGGGAGCACACCGGCGGCTCCGGCTGCCGTCCGGCGGCAAGAGCCCCTCATGCCCGCGTCCCCGCCGCCGCGGGGCGAGCGAGGCGACGCTGTCCTGCCGCGGGGGCACGCGGACTCCCCGCCGGCCGCCGGCTGGGCGGAAACCGCCGCTCCCCAAAGTTTCCCCGGGCACTCACCGGCGGAGCTCATGGTGCTCCCCAGGCGCGGAGCCGCGCTTCCCCTCGTCCCTTACGCCACGGCCCCTCTGAGGGCCGAGGAGAAGGAGCCCATTGTTCCCCCGCGCCGCCACCCAGCCGGAGGAGCAGCCGGAGCAGGAGCAGCTCCCCCCGCCCGCCACCGCCGCATCCCACCCCGCGGCCGCGGCACACGGAGAGCCCTCAGACGCCGCCCACCAGCGCCCCCTACTGGCCGCCCCTGCCGGGCCTTGGCCCCGCCCCGCCCCCGCTGCCCCTCCCCTGCCCCGCCCCTGCCCCATCCGCCCCGCCCACATGGCGCCCGAAAGCGGGCGCTCGCTATGCTTTCTGGGAGCTGTAGTTCTCCCCGGCGCCAGGCTGCGCCCGGCAGGCGGGGCGGGGTCAGGCGGCAGGCGGCACGGCGGACTCGGTTTCCCAGCGTGCCCGCGTGGAGGGGGTGGCATGGCGGGCAAGGATGACACCGGAGTTCGACGAAGAAGTGGTGTTTGAGGTGGGCGCGGGGCGACCCGGCGCGGGCTGGGGCCGGGTGCCTTCGCCCCTCGTTGCGCGGCGGCCCCCGGGAGCGGCGTGCACCGGGCGGGCCGGGGGGGCGCGGGGCGCCAGGCGGGCGCGGGGCCCGGCCCAGGGCAGCGCCCGCCGCGGGCGGGCAGCGTCGGGCGGGACCGGCGAGAGCGGCGGGTCGGGGCGGTGCTCGGCGTGTCCCGCGGGCCGGAGCAGCCCGGGGCCAGCGCCGCGCCCTCCGCGCAGGCCGAGGGCGGGACGGCTCGGCGGGGCCGGGCGATCCTTTGTGCGGCGGTGCCGCGCCGGCCGGCCCCGCTGTCGGGCGGCCGCGGTGGGAGGTGTCGCGGACCCGGGGCGGCGGCGGGTCCCCGAGAGCCGCCCGTGAGCACCGCCGGGCTGAACTGCGGGGTCAGCGTACAGCGAGCGAACAGCTAAAAATTTCTGCTTCAGTCGGGGTCACTCGCGTAAAAGATGTCTTTCTGCACGCAACTGTGCAGCGAGCACTGCAATCGCTTTATCTCTGTGGTGTTTGTTATTACTGGCTTTGCATAAACCGTGTCTAGTTATATCACGTCTTGTTAGAGCTACAATATCATCTTGGCCTTATTGAAATAATAGTGGTTAAATATATCAGCTGTTGTGGTTCGGTAACAAAATCCAGTCTGTTTGCAGCGGGTGAGTGTAATTGTATCTTAATGGAGGGCGCATCTGGTGTTGCAGATGTACAAAGTGATTATAAAGAAATGCTCTTATAAAATTAGTAATTATTATAATAGCAATAAGGCTTCTCCTTCAACCAGGATGCAAAACACTCCTTACATAAGCAATTATTTTTTTTCTCAGCTGTGTAAGCAGTATGTCTTTAGTCTTTGGTCCATGCCACAAAGTTTTGTGTTCATCCACAACCAACCTCGGATCCTAACAATAAGATTTATTGTTTATGTTGCTGATACATTAAATTGCTTCCTTTCACACTATTAATCTGGGGTGAGAATTTATTTCACAAGTATAATGCCTGCCCTCTGCATTTCTATCTTCAGTAAAAGTGGTACTTGTTTAACAGTTTCACAGTTTTTCAGTTCATGCAGCACCTACCATTTTGATTGAAAAATTTCTGCTGCATAGAGAGTAAAAGATCTCCTTGCATATACTCTTCATTATTATCCTTGTGTTTTGGGAAAGGACTTCTGTCACTAATAAAGGCTCTGGGGTACATTTACTGTACCAAGTGTGTGTATCCATGCACACTTACAGGTACACTGAATGACACAGTTAACAGATCTGTCATATATCGTGGTACATCGCAATAAAATCAGAAAAGCAACAGTAGGACAAATACAGGCTGTTTGGGTTGGCTGATTGGCTGGACTACAAAACTGGGTGGGCTGCCAACTCATAAAAATGGGTACTGTAAAATACACACCAAAATTATCTTCAGGAGTACTCAGCAGGGTTCATGCTATTCTAAAATGAAGCCTCCACAGAGAATTATGAGCATACTTCACACATGAGCCAGAGATAGGAATTGGCAAGGAGCCAAAAAGTATTGGGGTAGTTAATGCTACAACATACTTGTATTTTTAATTTTTGTTTTCTTGAGTCTCAAACTCTCCCCCTTAATTATTTGCCATTTCTGGTAAGCAACTGCATTTTTTTCTGCACCTCAGTAGGTCACTTCCCATGTTCTTCAGCAATCACTGTTGCAAGAAGCTTTTAGCCTTTAGACCTCAGTTGCTGTGAACAGCTGCTTTCTCTGTGCCTTTGGAGCTCCCTTCAGCAGGATACCAATGGATGTTATAAGGAGTGGTGGTGTGCTAACAAATACGTAATCAGGAAAGAAGTGTCTTTCACGTGCCTCATACCCAAAAGGATGGAAGCAAATGAGATATACTTCATGTGTTCCAGGTTATTTTTTGCATGGTTTTTTGGGTCATAGCTCTGTCCAGCTGGCCCTGAAGACATCAATAACAGGTGTCCACATTAAAAATTTTGTAGCATCAAACAGATGATAGCCTGCTGGTAAATATTTCTGAGCTTCCAAGGACCAATAATTTTTCTCACTGTCCAAGTATCTTTTACATTAATTTATCTTTGAAGGCAAAGAAGCACAAACACCTCATTCCTACTCTGGGAGAGCAGTGTTTTCCATCAAGTTCAAATGCCACTGCAGATCATCATAATTGAACAATAGTGAATGATGGGCAGTTACTCTGTCTACTAAATGCTACCATATTCTATCCAATTCATAAATTAATTCCTGCAGCAGACAGCAGTTTTTATTCACTGACTCAATAGTCCCAGCACTTCAGTTCTTGCATTAGTTACAAGCAGCTTCTCTTCTAATTAAAATACTGCAAACACAGTGGGGAGGAGCAGAACTCAAGAAACACAGAGGTGCCCCTGATATGTTGGGCCTGGGCTTGTCTACCCAGCAGCACGACAAATTAAAAATTGTGGCAGTGTAGAGCAGATTGTACTAAACAATGGAGGAACAATAAATTGTGTTCTTTATTAGTGGCTGTCTGAATTTATTAAGGGAGATCATGAGATTACAAATTGATGTTAAGTTGCTCAAGATGAGAGTTTATACAAAACCTGGAAGACCACCATGAGGCAGTTACAGTGTATCTTGGAATCCTCTGCAAATTTTCAGCATTTTGTGTATTTGTATGAGACTGGAATTGTGTTATGCCTTTTATTGTTGTGTGGACAATGTGATCTCCTTCTTGTTCTATTTTTTTTTTAATGTATACATTAAAGAAGCTTCTTGTTCAAACTAGCTAAATTTCTTCATCATTTTGCCAGGGGAGGGACTGTGTCAGGACTTTGATGATTTATAACTGCCACCTAATTTCTGACTGGAAATTTATTCATGGTCACTTCATACCTACTTGCACATCAGCTAATATTTTCCGTTATCTTATATAGTTCTTATCTGTCTCTCGAATTTACAGAATCACAGAAACATTTAGGTTGGAAAAGACCTCTGAGATCCAGTCCAACCTTTGACTGATCACCACCTTATCAGCTAGGACCATGGGCCAGTTGTTCCTTGAACACCTCCACAGATAGTGACTCTACCACCTACCTGGGCAGTAGTGCTTAAGTCCTCTTTCTGTTAAGGAATTTCTCCTGGTGTCCAACCTGAACCTCCCCTGGTGCAGCCTGAGGCTGTGCCCTCTTGTCCTGGTGCTGGTTTCTGAGAGTGGAGTTTAACTCATATAGTATGATAGGGTAACTGCTCATATATGTCCTTGATTTTATCAACAGCTTCCACATAATTGGAGACTTTACACCTCTGTGTAAGGTCTTGCTGTTGCCTGTTGTTAAATTGCATGCCATTACCAATACCCACTTCAGGCCTTCCTGTTCTTTTTCTATTATGTTTCAATCCTTTTCTGCATATATGATGCTCCTTGGTCTTATCAGGAAATGCCATTAGCAAGGTTTTTGATATAAGTTTAATTATGGCAAAAATCAAAGCTTTTAAAAATGCAAAAGCTTTGACCAAAGACTCATTCCTCATGAACTCCATTAGTAACCTTCTGATCCAATGGCTTTCCATTCAGTGTAGACCACTGTTATCTCTGCCATCAACATACTTGGTTCCTTTCCCATCTTTTTTATCTAACTGATATGGCACAGTATCAAAAGTCCATAACCATACAGAATAGTGTAAAAAGTTGACATAAACTTCCTGCATTTCCTTTATCTAAAAATTAGCTGTCTTATCGAAGAAAGATGTCAAGTGAGTTGGGTACTATCTACCTCTGGTGAACCAGTGTGATATCTTCTTTGATGATCATTTGTTTTCTTCTTTGTCTTTGAATTTTGCAAGAAAGAATAATTATTCTCAGTAACACACTGGCTTTTGATCAAATTCATAGACCTGACATATTCTTGATTGCTTTTTCTCCTTTTAAATATAGGCACTATGCTTGGAATTTTTTCTGCTTTTGAGTTTATAGATTATTAAAAATACTTTCTGCTCCATCTTTTATCTCCTGTGCCCATTCTTTCAGAACACTGGGATGAAGGTGATCCAAATACTGCATTTTCAGCTGTGCAATTTGTCCTATATTTTAATGAGTGCAAGCTTGTTTGATTTTTTTTTTTTTACCTTTGGACAGATATTCAAGCTGTGCTCACAGAACCACAGAATGTTTGAGATTGAAAGGCAGCTCTGGAGATCATCTGGTCTACCTTGCTCAAGTAGGGTCATGTAGAATCAGTAGCCCAGGACCATGGTCAGATGGGCATCTCCAAGGATAGAGAGAGATCTCACAATCTCTCTGGGCAACCAGTGCCAATACTCAGTCACTCTCACACCAAAAAAATGTCTTTATGTTCAAAGGGAACCTCATGTGTTTCAGTTTGTGCCCATTGCCTGTAGTCCTGGTACTAGGCACCACTGAACAGTGCCCATTTCTCTCCTCTTTGCACTCTTTCTTTGGATATGAGACCCACCCTGAGGTTTCTCCAGGCTCACCAGTCCCAGCTCCTTCCTCAGTTTCACCCAGACCACCCCAGAAATCCCAGAAAGTGATCCTTGCTGTGTCAGAGCAGTTCTGGTAGAGGGGTTGTAGGTGACTTTATTTTCTCATTTAATTCTGTGTATTTAGAAGAAAGTTACTCAGGCTGCACAAATATATGATCTTGACACAATATCAAACTGACACCACCTTAGATTTTTAAGGGCTTTTGCATATGTAGTGTTTGAAATACAAGCCTTTATGTCAGAATTATGTACATGTACAATTGTGCAATACTGAATTTCATTAGCATAAAATTTCCATTTTTAAAATTTTTAATTAGGAAAGAAATATTTTCTCACTTGAGACATTGTTTTAATTCATTCATGAGTCTTGTGCCATTCCTACAACCAATTCTGCCCATATTATTTACTTAATATTGCTATTCATTAGCTATTTCAGTACTAGTAGAAATTACATGTTACAGAATAGCTGGCTGTGTGTCATGATGGTTGTA